GACAGACAGACAGACAGACAGACAGACAGACAGACAGACAGAGAAAAAAGTCTACTCACCATCAACGCATCCCAGTATCCAGGAAATTGTCGCTATCCGCAGCAGCGACAGCAGCATCCCCCGACCATCTGACACAAGGATCGCCCCCATGGCCCTTGTGAGCGCGGGTGAGCCCTCTACCCTCTTCACTCACCCGACCATCTCACGTGTTCCAGTGGAGTGGTCATGAACTTTGACTTTCCACGTCGTTAATCCTTTTCAGAAATCTCTCACATAATGAAATCCAATGAATGAATACCACTACTCGACTATCAAGGTGTTACCATAAGTAGTATTAAGAATTTAATCCGCATTTATGAGACTCAAGGCTGAACATTAAGACTGTTCTCCATTCATGGAATCGAATTCAGGTTCCCAATGAATCACTGAAAACGCATACGGACTGGAAGGGTAGTCAATCTCGAATGTAGATAGTTTTCCTGGCTTGAGTATATTAATATAAATCAAACACAGCTGTGTTCAAAACGAAAATCACATTATCCGGAAAACGAAGTCACTGACATGGTGACTACAACATTCATACAGAAAATTGTTAGACAAGCAGCAATTTGAAATACATGTAGCCTATCCCAGTTTGCTGATCAACAAAAATATTTAATTTTAAACCTTTTTTTTAAACAGAGCTGTCGATATTTCTTGCCCAACTGAGCACATTTGTATACGGATTTTGCTTTATGTGTGTTTGGCATTTGACGCCAGTGCGTTTAAAAACATTATCTTTGTCACGCACACTTCTAGGGAGATCGAAGCATGTCAGAGCGTTCTTCCCTCAAATCATAAATCTTGTCAATCAATGTCAGAGGTCTCCGAACTGCGTCAAACAGAAATTGGAATTATGTGCAGTGTGTATGTTGAACATAAAACGAATGTTTGACTACACGTCTATACAATGTATACATGTCTTAGATGCGGGCTTCATCAACAGGGTGATGACATCCGTTTCCTCGGGGAAATAAAACAGCGCTTCAAGGCACACAAAGACAACTGCGCTAACTTTGCTAAACGCTGATTAAGTTACCCAAGAAAACATTACCTCGAAAAACTTTAATCCTTTGAAGGCACAAATCATCAAAAGCACAGGGTGTAATAAACTGCTTGTAAAAACTTTCCGAAATCGAAACGCAGTATCCGTTTATAATCTGACCATGTTTGGTTTCAATGTGGGCCCCGCACAGTGGAGACCCAACTCAAAGTAGTGGTCGAGAAGTTTTATACTAAGTGTTATTTCTTTCCTTCCAATATAACGAAAGACTGTGCCTGTGCCCATTTTGCGGCTTTGAATACAGTGCTGACTCTACCACCAGTCCATTCCCTCGTCTTTGTAGTTTCGTTTCCCCTGTGAATGAAAGAGAAAGCAGCAGGTCATAAACATGCACACAAAAGAAAGAAAGGGAACCAATGAACTACCGAACACTTTAAATGGACACGACTCAGGACTTTTAACAATGTTGTCTTTAACCAGCCCCCCCTGGCATGTAGCTTGCCGTGTGACGAGAAATAATCCAATAACAATGAGAGGTGGGAGGTTCGCCTGCCTCTCTACACTATCGCCCTTCGCTTTGGGGGAGGTAAATTATAATATGAGAAAATAATGGAGCGAAAAGAAGCGATTTAAATACATGTTCATGCAAATTTAGATCCATGTAAGGTGAGACCAGTGAACCTAAAAATATGGCGTGCACTTCTGAAGCTATGACAAAAGCAAACAAAATTAAAGCGCACGGGGG